TTTTATAACGGTATAAAACTTTATACAATATGGATGCTTATTAATTTTTTTTTTATAATAAAATTTTGTATTTCTTATATAATGTATAAATGCTTATTAAGCATTTTATTTAAGGTACAATATTAATATTATCCTTTTTGGTCAAATATTCGATTTAGACTGTACTAGTATATAAGGCTAATATCAAATTTATATTATAAATGAATGAACAAAATATGTTCAAATTTTGTACACAGAATAAGAACTTAATAATGATTTTCCTAAATCATTGTACAAATCAGGAGTTATGAGTTTTTTGTTTACACGCCATAATGATTTTACTACAACAGAAAATTTTCAATATTTTTCGCTTTGCTATTAAAAAGAAATTATTATTTTAAATTTTAAATGAAAAAAAAAGAATACCATATTAAATGTTGACAAAATAAATTTTAACAACAAATTAATTTTTAATATCCATAAAATAATTAAACAGCACAATATTAATATTATATATTGCAACTAAAATCATATATTAAAAATTATTATTAATTTTTAATGCTATACCAACTATGAGAATAAAAGTTTTCTGGATTTTATCAGAAAAGAAAAACAAATAAAGAAAATCTAGGTCATCCCATGTTTATTCCTGTTAGGCATTCTCGTAATATATAACATATACATACATGCATATTATATGTATAAATTATAAGAATGCCTAACAGGAATAAACTTAATATTATATTCTAAATAATAAGGATGCATTTTTTTTTTGTTGCTTATACTTATAAAAGTATCTATACTAAATTTTGAATATAACAATGTATACATAATATGTGTACCTACATACATATTAGTATTGCGCCTATCTATACTTAATATTCGGTATAGATGGGCGCAACTGTAATATACTGCTATGATTATATTATAGAGGCGCCTAAATACATACCATACGTATACAGAGAAATAATGAATTTTTGGATGTGATGATTGCATCTTTGACTCTTTTTCTTGTTAACAGCATTAAGGATATTATGTATTTTAACATTGTTGTTGAAAATATTTATAAAATATGTACTTATATTATAAATATGCATAAGTATATACATAATTTTGAAAATTTTAAATATTGAAAACATTTGACTTAATTTTAAGAAATTATTTTGCTTATCTAAAATTTTCGGCAACTTAACATATAAATTGGTTTTTATTAAAAATAAAAATCTCCTTTACAAATTTCAATCATTTATGGGGTACCAAAACTTGCCAATATGGCATAATATATGCATTTAATTTAATGTTACCAGATAATCGAATCAAGATAATAATCATAAAATTTGATGTGATACCATTTCATGTTCATTTTAATTTTGTAAATTTGAAAATAAAAATTATTGAAACTATTTTATGTAGGTATATTAGAATTGAGAAATGCAAAAGAAATAATTTATCCAAAATTTAATTGGTTAGATTAAATTAAGAAGAAACTTGTTTCATTCCAGTTTCCAAAATTAGCCAATCGATTAAATTCTTTGGGAACACAAACAAAAATAGATTTGCCAGAAAAAGTTAACGAAATGGAAATTTTGTATGTATAAAAGATTTTAGTTACTCGTGTTTCCTTGTAAATTGAAAAATTTGGTTTTGTGTTAGAAAACAAAGTTGGAAAATGTAAGATTAATTTACTTTTGATTGTGCTGCAGATACATTTTAACATTAAAAATTGAACCATTTTTGATCTTAAATATTTATGTATATAGAACTTTCAATTTAATGAAACCTTTAATTCATGACGAGCATTTATTTACACCTACGTATACCTAAACATACATTGTATAGATTAAGCTTTGTCTAACGCTACTATTATTCAATTTTATTTTATACATATATTTATTAGAGTCTTAAAAAGATGTAGGTACATGCCTATTCACATAGTACATAAATATCTAAGTATCTACATATTTGAATAAAATCGAAAAATTTGCAGAATCCACGAGCATTTTAAAATAATTCAAATTATTTTAATTCAAGTCAAAATTCTATTGTATAAATTTCTTTTTCAAATTTCAGTGTTCCGCTTCTGTACAAACATACATACATACGTATGCATATGCATGTTGGTACCTAAAATTCAAATGCCCACATGTTACCCTTGCCTCAAGAGATCTCATGTAAATACCCTTGAAATATTCATTGAAGTTATGTATATATGTGTGTACATATGTATTCTAGGCCCTTGTTTAATCTTTATTAGTAATAATCTAATAAGTAATAATATGTACATATGTATGTATATATATATATATATATATATATATATATATATATATATATATATATTTCTTTAAAGCACTTGTAGTATTGTATCCAGTTATAATGCACTAAAAGGAAATAAAAAGGCTAAAAAGGAAACAAAATTGCATATCCAATAATATTAATTCTCTATCCTATAGTAGCTAACCCCTAGGATAGACTAGTACAGCACAGTACAACTTTTAATTTATCCAAAAAAAAATCAATGTTTCTATCTCTTTTTAACATGAAAAAAGAATTATACACATTCTCTAAAATACCAATTTTTCAAAGCAAAAACAACCGCAAAAACAGAAAAAAAAACACAAAAATACTTGTTTAAGAAAATGAAATGGCTCATGTAATCATTTAAATGGCAAATATATTTGATAGAGTAGATAAGATATATATGACACCTTTTAGTTAATGCTCCTAAAAGACTTAAACCAACTTTTTTTACTACTACTGTCTTTTTTAAGAAAAATTTATTGGAAATCTGCCATCAAAAAATTTCTACAATCATTTATTAGAAAAATAATTTAAAGCTTAGTTTTTTAAGCATTTTCATTTGTAGTCCTCAAATGTTTTAGAAAGCACATTTACTAAAATTTATATATTAATTCTAAAATTCAATTGTATTAAAACGGAAATCAACTTTTTTTTTATATTTTTATGACAATGCCACACCACCATATCAAAAAAAGAATTGAAAAAATCTCATCAATCTAAGAAATTCTTCTGAGTCATAGAATATTTGGGAGTAAAGAAAATGACAAAAAAAAACTTCCTTCATTTTGATGAAAATTTACATAAAATCGATATTAGAATTAAACTTTAATTTTTCACCAATTCTAATTAAATTAATATAAATTTTTTTGAATTAAATCTTTTGTGGGGAAAAAAAACTCGTTTCTTTTCTCTAAATTCCAATCACGTCAAATATTTCAACTAGATAAGTGAAATTTTATTGACCATTTTCTTTTCTCCATTATTTCTTTTTTTCATTTTATTGATTATTAAATATAAAAATGTCAAAATTAAATGAATTTTCTTGCTTACTTGTTAAGTGTTTCAAATAAAAAATAAAATTTCCACTGTTTTTTTTTTCTAGGAAGATGTAATAAAAAAAATTCCTTTTTCTAAATTAAAGAATTACTTTTTTTTTTCTATAAATCCACACTTACAGGCCGTACTGTTAAATATGAACTAAAATTGTATATATATATTTAAGAAAGAGAAGAATATCTTAAGATTTTAAAACTGGTGAAATGTCAAATAAAATTGAAATTTGTTTTTATTGAAGAAACAAAATGGAAATTTATGAAACACCTATCATAAAATGCCATATTTCAGTATTTTTTTTTCTATCACATTCAATAAAATTAAGGGATGTGTAAATTAAAAAAAATTGTTTGAAAATAGAAGGATTTTTGACAATGATAACCTGCATCGATCGATTGTAACTTAATAACTTAAAAATTAAGTAAATTTTGAAAGTAGTAAATAATTGTGCCACTGGAAATACTTGAAATTTGATATTGGTAAATTTTAAAAATCTAGTTTTTATCTGAGTTTACGGCGATAGTTTTGAAACAGGCTGAAAAATTCTACATTTTTCTACAAATGCATATCTTGACAGTTCGTACATTAATTCTCAAAGACATCATCAAAAACCTGGAATGATGAATGTTAGATTCTTTTTTTTATTCAATTGAATCTAATTTTTTTTGTTATAAATTAAATCCTGTATATTTGCTATTAAAATTATTCAATTTTTTGAATTTCATTACTATGAAGATAAAACCTATATTTTAATTAAGTATTTTTCTGTCAAAACTTATTTTAAATACATCTATTTGAATGTGATCTACGCAACTACGTAACGTGACATTCTATACTAAATATTTATGTATGCACACCGTGATGCACACACTTATTTTGTACATACATACATATACTTATTGTATATCTAATTATTTAGCCTTAAGCGACCGTTTTAAAATAGGCTAACGATATGAGCAAAGAAATTAAGAAAAGAAAGTTGACTATTCTTAGATTTCTAACAAGATTCAATTTCAGTTATAGACGTAGTATCAAATCAAAAAAAATTTACAAAATAACTTAAAGAGTTGAATTCTAAAAACAAGAACTTACCGTGATTTTAATTATGCTTTGTCCTAAAACTTTTCTTTATTCATTTGGATATTCAACTAAATATTAAAAATAAACCGCATTTACTTTTATAAAAAAAAAATAACCGAAAACTTCATCAAAAAAATAAAAAATATAGAAATTAGAAAAATTTTGAAACACAATTTTGAGAAAATTTTGAATAATTACTAAATTTCAAAAACAAAAATTTTGACTGAATTCTATATGAATAAATGATCGTAGAAAATATATAATTTTTAAGTCGAGAATATCTTGTTCTTATAATAAGTATGTACAAGTACAAGATATGTAACTAAAAAAATAATGTATAATTGTTATGTTATTAGTTAAATTTGAAAATCTTCATAATTTCCAATAATCTACAAAATCTAGAGGAACGAATGTATTAGGTATTTCTTCAAATTTCGTTCCAAGTTTCTAAAAAATAAATTTTATCGTATTGATTTTATAAATAGGTTTTTCTTAAACAAGATGCGTATAATTTTCAAATTTCCTGATAGCAAAAAAGGAAATTTTGCAATTGTCCCAAAGATTACAATCAAAAAATTAAATTTTATTATCAATTTTATTTCAATCGTAACTTACAAAATAAAAAAAAGTAACTTATAGATTTGGATGAATATGAAAAATAATAATTTTTCTAAAACAATTTTTTTAATTTGGTTTTCATCAGTAAGTTTTTTTCAGAAATGAAAAAATATTAAATTAATATCCATACGTACTATAACCACATAATTTAGATTTGAATTTTTCATTTTTTTACATTTAACAGCAAAACTAAAAATTTTAAAACAATTTTTATAACCAGAGATACAATAAAATATATTAGAGAACATAAATGAAAAATTTCCAGTGCTTCCATCAAATCAAAAGTGAAATGCGTATGTAATTTACTACATTATTGCTCTTAAAATAATTGAGGAATATTCATAACTAATTTATAGCATATTTAATTTTATATTATACAAATATTTCAAAAATATTATGCAAAATTTATTATATTATGTATGAAATGCGTTAAGTTTATGATAAGTTTATTTATTTTCATTGAAAAATATTGAAATTATATTCAATATATTGTGTCAAGTAGGAATTTAAATTTAACTTTGACTACAGAATCTATATTTAAAAAATCGTTTAAATTATGTACTCTTAAGGTGTGTTTTGTTTATCTATAATAACATTACAGTTGAATTATTTAGAATTTGTTCTCTTATACTCGGTGATCATTCTTAATTTATTTAAATAAGAAACTAAAAATAAAGAAATTAGTTTTTTTTTTCAAAGTGCATGTTAATATTTGTTTCAATTTACCTATAAGGATATCCCATGGCTTTCGATCTAAATACAGAAAGCAATAAAGAAAAGAAAATTGCTACTAAACCTAAACCAACAATGGTCATTATTCTACTTTTTCTCATATCAGTCTGCGATCCAGATTCTGTTAACAGTATCATTCCCAAAACTATCATCGCATCTAAAAAAAATATCAAATTGATTTAATTGAAAATTTTTGACAATACATAACTGAAAAATTCACTTACTAAGGAACATTACAATATATGTTTCAATAACTAATTGCCCTTGAGATGAGCCGTGTATGTATGCAATCCCTCCATTTTGGCTTTTATGTACTAACGGTGGTCCACGAATATGATTCCACATTTGGCCTGATATCATAGTAAAACAGAAAAATACAGCAATAGCACCCCACATTTGTTTATTATATAAAAATTCTAAATTATTCCGTTTTAAGTATAAAACTCCGGCAACAACAGCAGCCATTGTAATAACTGCTACTGTACCGGAATAATTTGGTGGTCGAAAAACTCTTATTTGAATATCAGTACGTTCATGTACGAATTTCGCTAGAGCTTCAGCAGAAAAACCAACACGATGTATATCCATTGTATCTGCTGCTTTGGATTTTCCTTTAGCTGGAATATGCATAAATACCGGAGCAGTATTTAGTCGCAGTATTTGAAAGATTTCTTGACCTTCATCAAAATCAACCATAGCGAAAAATAATTTATTCGAATAAGTTGGAGAATAACGATATGAATTTGCTAATATTGTAAATTCATCGCTAGCATGCCGGCATATTTGACATTGCCGAGTTGGCTGCAATGCTGTCAGCATTAAAATTATTGAATAATTTCTTGGTGCTTGACGTACATATTCCTTGAATTTTTGTGTATTAAATCTAAGGACGGATTTTTTCATATTCATGTCCAAAAGATTTTGAACCTTCTCTGATAGACTAAGTTGCGGTGCATGCTGAAAACAAAAAGAAGCAACTTTGAAAACTTTTACATCCACTGTCGTTTTCTTTAAAACATATTTTGAAAACTTTGTGATTAATTAAAAAAAGAAATTATCTAAAAGGTATGTAATTATATTAGATGTTGATACAAAAAGGATTTACAATTGTACTTTATACATGTATGTATTTATTTTGTGACGTGTCCTCATCAAATAGACGAGGCAAATATTTGATAAACACAATTATTGATAAAAAAAATTTTATTTTATATTTACCTTTTGTTTTGATTGTGCGTCTGTTATAACTAAGAAAGCAATAACAATTAAACAAAGCCCTAATAATGATCTTAATAAAATCATTTTAATTACAAATTTAATTATAATAATTATTATAGGCAAAATAGGTTCTTATATGCACCCCGTCTCATTAACAAAAATCAAATTATTGAAAACGTCAAATGTCAATAGAAAAAAATTATTCTATGCTTTTAATTGTCAACGAGCATGCTTTTATAATGAAATTGAAACATTCACAATAGAAATACATATAATTGTAATGCATTAAAAATTCACAGTACAATATTCTTCCGTTTATGATATTAGACAAATGTACTTTATTTTTTTAAAGAATATGTTGAATGTTAGAATTCTGATAACTGTTATAGAAAAATTAAAATATTATAATTAATGTAAGATTTTAGGACCTTTTTACAACAGTCTCCGAGTGACAGGCAAACTAGTATTAGGTTTTTTGACAGATATTATTGTTGTATGCTTGAAATTTTTTTATATTTATTTTGAATCAAAAATTTTGCACTAGATCATTCGTGTATAACAATAGTTGGGCTCTTTTTTATGCTGATGTATAGTTACCAATTTGAAAAAAAAAAAATTCAACACAATTTGTAGTTATTTTTGTTAAATGTTAAATGCTTTACGTTACTTATAAAAGGAAAAAACATTTCGAAAAAATTTAAGTCCAACTCTGAATTTACTTATTAATAACTTTGTCAACCATATTTATTGTAAATATTATTATTGATTTTATATTTTATATATAGAGATTCACATAATTATTTTCTATGACTATATAGAAAAACTATCATAATAAAATCGGCAACACTTATGATTTTTCTTTGATAATATGTCAAATTTTTTTTTTGTTTTTTCCTAGAGAACACAAACAGACCATCACAAAAGAATGCAAAACAAAGTTGTTAAGAACCAGTTTTTATTCGTTTCGCGCTCTGCTGATTTCACATTTCGTAGTGATTGAGTTGAAAAAGAAAAGAAAAAAAAAATAACATTGAAAAAAGTTAAAAATTGTGATTAAGTGAAAGAAAATAATTTATTTTACAAAACAAGGTTTTTATTTTAAATAAAAAAATTAATATTCGAAGAATTATTCAAATTTAAAAAATACATATTAAATATAAAAAAAAAGTAAAATAACGGGATACGTTTTTTTTTTTTTTCGTTGGATGACAAGAAACAGAACTTTTTCTCTTTTTTTTTTTTGTTGTGTGTTTTCAAAAGAAAATTTTTTCAATTTTACTCTTTTTTGTTTTTTTTTGTTTTTATTGTGCCGTGTGCGCGCTCTGGATTTGAAAATAAATTGAAAAGAAAATTTCACTCAAACTCAATTTTTTTCTCCTGTAAAAACAAAACAAAAATCACATGAGAAAAATCGAAATAGGAAAAAGATAAAAATAAAATATGTAAAAAAAATTTGAAAATAACATTTCAAGAAATGTCAAAATTCTTTAATAATGTTATCTTTTTCTAACATTTCATTTTTGAATCCTGACCTGTAAAGGTGAAAAGAGATAACCTCACTTCTGTCTTTTAGATTATTATTTTGTTCTGATATTTTTATATACATATGTAGGTATGTGTGTATAGCAAAAAAAAAAAAAGTACACATTGCTATTTTACTTATTTTCTTATTTTGTTATTGAGAAAAAATTTGAAATGAAAATGTTAAGAAGTGGTTATCAGTGAAAATAGCATTGGCGAGGATAAAAGTTATCAGAGAATCTTGAAAAGAATTATTAAAAATATATTTTTTTTTTTTGGTCTTGGATGTAAAGTAAAAGTAACTACATATAAAGAAAAACAAAAATTAAAGTAGAAAAAAAAAAAACAATTATAATTTTGGAATTTGTGATTTTTTTTTTTAATTATTTTCATATCAAATTCTTAATTTCGTATCAAGATTAAATTTTTTTTCGCATAATTTTTATAAATTGTGATTTAAAGTAAGAATAATTTGTGTAATTGTGTTTTTGTTTTGTTGCTTGAAAATGAAGAAGAAAGAAAATGTTATATAAAAGTTTTGACCACTTGAAAACTTGATTGAAACTGGATTAAATTAGTTTTATTTCAGATATTTTGGTTAAATAAAAGTTTTGTTGAAATTCTAGTATGAAAATGATTCAAGTAGAAAATTAAAAAACAATTTCACTGACAATATTATTTTCAATAAAAAAAAAACCTACAACAATACCAGATTGCATAGTTACCAACCTACTTATTATTTTTGAAATTTTTCAATAAAATTGTTTTGCACCTTCTACAACTTAATTTTAATCTGAAATAAAGGAAAAAGCAATTTGAAAGAACCTACTTACTAAGCACAACCTACCTACCAAAATATTTTAAAATTTTTAAAAATTTTTATTAATTTTTTATAGGTTATTTAGTTTATTAACTCACAAGAATAAAAAAAAAACTATTAAAGAACTCAGTAAAATTTTCAATAAAAAATATTTTAAAGTGTAATTAAAGTGAAATTAATAAAAAAATTTAATAATAAAAATAGAAAAAGGAAAAATAATTTTATTGTTAAAAAAATATTGAATTTTTTTTTTTTTTATTTATGTAACAACTTAAACGACCTACCCTCTTCTATAAAGGAAAATCGTGAAAATTCGATTTTCATAAAAAGAAAACAAAAAAAAAAGAAATAAAAGAAGGAAATTTTTTTTTAAGAATACAAACAAAGGTGTTTAACAAACACACACAAAATCACACAATACATATTCACATATATATACAAAATATAAAATTATTAAAAAATTTTTCTTTCGTCTTTTCTTTATTCCTGTTTTTCATTAGATTTTGTTATTGTTATTATTTTCTTTTTACTTTTTGGTAAAGTTTCGTTATCCTTTTTACAATAAAAAAAAAAGAAAGAAAAAATCTCATATATTTTTTTTTCTGTGTTGTTAGACAAGTATAGCTATACATTTATTTTATTATTATTGTTATTATTTTTGTTAAAAAATAATTTTTATTGCTATTTTTCTATTTTATTAAAATTATTATTACTCAATTATTATTATTTTAATTTTATTATCGTAATTATTTTTAAATGTTAAAAAATTAAAAAAATTATTTTTTTTTTTGTAAATTATTTCCGCTTTAAATTTTTAATATTTTCATTTGATTGCCTACCAATACACCTACCCTTATTATTTTGTTTTGTGATTTTTAATTTCACTTATAACATATAAAAAAATTAATATTTTATAAAAGTTAAAATAAAGTGTTTGTGTATAAAAATAAGTAGAAATATTTCCTAATAAAAAAATAAAATTATCTACTTAATACTATAAAATCTACATTATTATTTCTATTCTATTATAAAAGAAATTTATACACGAAACAGAAGTATAAATTTGAATATATGGAGCGTTTACCAGAATATTTACGAGATACTGTGGATTGGCTTATGGGGTAAGTTTTTAATAAGTTTATTAATTGATTAAATTTAAAAGAATATTGCAAAAAGAACAATCGTTTTTTATTGCAATTTATTAAAAACCAATTAAATTATTATGAGTATCTACTTGCCCTTTCACATATCCTTTCACTGTGACGTATTATGTAAATACGATATTAGTACTTATGTATTTGTGAATTAGTTAACAACAATATCGAAACTAATATGAAATTGTTTTGATTTTCAAATAAAATTCAATATTGATTTTTTTAAATTTTAAAATTACCCTATACTTAATCACATGCCCAAATAAATTAGAAAATCTAAAAAAATAACTAGTTCCTGTTATTTGATTAAAAAAAATAAATTTTCTATGGGGTGAACATGTTTATTTTACGTAAATGAAATTAATGCTATTGCTAGTTATATTATTAATATTTACACATACCAACATACACATAGAATAGGAGAAAAAATGAATTGAATTTCTTTAATTGAAGCAATCAATAATTAATTTATGATAGAATTGTTTTATTAAAATAAAAGAATAAATGCAAGAAAGGACTAACAAAGAAACTTTTTTTGTTTTTCTTTTCTGTCTACCTACCACTTGTAAATATTATGACAATTATTTTAAGTGATTATGACATTGCACATTTTTTTTTATTATGGTTAAAAAAGAGAGAAAAAAAAATTTTAAAATAGAAAAGTTGTCTTTTATATTGAGAGTATTTTTTCTCCTTATTGTTTTGGTTTTTTTTTTCAAAGTTATTTTACAATAAAAAAAAAATATTTAAGTGTAAAAGAGGAGTATAGGAGAACCAAAGAAGAGACGACAGTAGACACTAATAAGAAGTAAGAAAAAAGAAAATATTTTTTTTTTTCTTTTGTTAAACAAGGTATAAAAGGACATTTGAAAATGTCATTTTAATGTCAAAAAAAAAAAAATTTCTTATAATTTATGCTTTTCTTTTCCATTTCATTGTTTTGAGTTTTTTTCTTTTTGTGTCTTTTTTCTATCCGAGAGAGTAAAGAGCGCTATTAAATTTGTTTGATTTTTAATTTTTAAAGTTTTATTTTCCTCTTTTTTTTAAATTTTGTAAAATTTCCTATTTGAGCAGAAACAAAAATATGTTTGACTAATCAAATATGAAAGAAATGAAGTGATTTAAATTATTAAGTGTTTAATATTAGCAAATTTTCTACTTGTGCAGCTATAGCTAATTTTTTATGCTAAGAAGTACGTGAATGTTTTCTTTTAGTTCATTAATCACATGGCATTAAATAACCTGCCTAGATATTTTACTACTTAGTTACCTTTATTCTTAAAAAAATTTTTATTTTTGCAAAAGTAGAATAAAACTTTATTATTAGTATTCTTATTCTCAATAAATAATAACAGTATAAATATATCATATATATTCTTTTACTTGTATACTTACCGCACATTTTATACTTTATGTCTGCGCTCTTATTAATTTAAAAGAAAACTTTATAATAACTAAGTAGGTAGATATTTTTAGATATTTTTAAGTAGGACAAAAAATGTTTTGTATTTTTATAAGTATTGTTTTATATTATTTTACAATTTCTTTTTGTTTTTTTGTTATTTTATTGAATTTAAAATAGCTTTTCTGTTTTAATGTATTTTTGAATATTTTTTTTTTGTACATATAGCTAGCAACTTACTTTAGTAAAAAAAATTTAA